GGACCGCAGGGATGAAAATGCTCCTTTTTCTCTCTTTCTGACTCCCTCAAAACTTCCATTAACTAGAGAAAAGCAATTTAATTAAACTAAGCCACATTGGATTATAAATGATTGATTAATAGACTACTTAACCCTCCCTGGGACATTTTTATTTTAAAAAAAGGAAACTGTAATCTAAGTGAATCTGTAATAGACAGAATTTGAAACAGTTCAAAAAAGTAGGGGGAAATATACAGGCTTCTTCCAGGGAGATACGTTTTGATAGAAGGGCCTTCTGAGGGTCCCTTAAATTATCCCTGTTGGTGGTCACCTAACTCAGCCTCAGTTCCTGACTAGGAGAATAAAGCACTGACTGAAATGCCCTTTTCCAGTTTTATAAGTGAGCAGCAAAGTGCTCTCAAAGGGAAGACATTTGACTTTGAAACAGACTTCAGAAGTTGAAGTATGGTTTATTACTCCTCCGGGTGAACTGAGAAATATAAATGCTTCTTTTAACTTGGAGTCAAAATCCCAAGAGCCATCCTTAAACACCAAATATCACTATGACAAAGGTCAAATCCTCTGTCATGTGGAAATGACCCTACAGATACTGTTTTTAGATTAATCACATGTTTTTTAACTTTTAATTGGAGGATGAGCATGAGCACCAGAAATATGTGATATAACCACATATTATGGAGACATAAATGAGAATATAATAGCAAAGGAGCCTCTACAAACTTCAAGGTAAAGTTCAGCCTCTCACCTCATCAATCATACCTTCTAGATCATCTATACACACGCGCGCACGCACACACACACACACACACACATTCAGTGACGGTAAAATTCCAACTTCCCAAGTATTATTTACAGGGTATCCTCTTAAAATTTAGCTAAATATCACCTAAACACTTTGGAATAACATTGATAATAAACTGCTAACATGTCTTTATTGTTGACAAAATAGGTTAGAAGTAATTACAAGACTCTTTTTGCTTTAACAGTGTATTTTTGTTCCTGCTTTAACCCTGGTATAAAATACAAAGAAAAGGAACTGTTTACTTCTTGCCTCTAGTTTGATCTATGTAAATTGAAGCTGATCTTCCACTCTAGCTAATTATAAATCTTGCCCTCCCTTACGACAAGATGACTACACAGACCTCTGTGGTCATGACAAAAGTCATTAGCATTTTACTTTGTTGCAATGGTTGTAAAAATCAACAATTTGACCCTAATGAGTCAACTGCATTAGTATCTCAAGGATCCTTTTTGCAGAAATGTCAGGCTATACCTATACCTACTCTTTGGTGAACTTTTTCACTGCATTAAAATAAGTACTTAGCTCCTGGTGAACTTTTTCACTGCATAGAAACATTATACTTTGTCTTAATTTTCAAAATTCACTTGGTTGGCTCAATAGAAAACTCCCATACAGGAAAGACATATTTGCAACATCTATACCCCAAACAATGAAAGTTTAATTGATATTTTTTCCTTTTAGCTCTACAAGTAAATTCCTCTTCACAGCTAAGTAAACCTTCTACACCAAACTCTGTGCACCATTAATTTAAAATGTGCCTTCTGAAAACTTCTCATCAAAGGTACATTTTGAATAGGGTGCTCCAAGGTAAGATAGCTTATTTAACAAATATATCTAATTTGGCCTATTTTTAAAAGACATGAACCCACAAGAAGGGGAAGAACAGGAGTGAAAGCAATAGCAGCTTAGTTTTGGAAGGCAGAGAGCCGGTACACACCCAGATCCAAGAAAGTTCAATCTTAAGGGGACAATGAGAAAAGCCAACAACTAGTTACACAACAGATTATTCACAATGTTCAGCAAATGATAGTACCAGTTTCTCTACAACTGAGGATAATATGGGGTAGTAGGCAGGTAGAAACCTAAAATAAGTATGATTGGATAAAAGCGGTTTGAAAAGTAGTTAGATACCTATATGCCTTACCCTATTCCACTTTCCTGAGTAATGATCCTCACCCCTGACTGAGGTCTGGAAAGATCATAAAAGAAGATCTTTACATTAGGGGAATCCCAGTAACTGAGGACAGGGGAAACTTACTGAAAACAAAGAGATTAAGTAACTGTGCATATAGGATGCAAGGTACTGAGACATCTTCCTTCCACCCCCACACTCCCTTTTTTTAGTGCCAGAAGACTGACAGCTAGAATTTTTCCCCTCCAGAAAGGATATTGGAACACATTTCTCTAGGGAGTTTGATCAACTCAATCAATGGCCTACCTCCGTCTCCCACAGTAAAGCTTAAATTTGACATTGCTAAAATGTTCAGAGCTTCCAGAAAGCTTTTCAGCCCCCATTTAGGGAAGACAGACCAAAACAAACATCTTATTTAAGAAGTAACTTGTATGATGCAGAGGCTATTCGGGGGGGGAAAAAAAAACTTTTAAAAAAAATCAGAACAATAAGTCAAAATATCTCATCCATGATACAAAAGACTAAATTATCACAAATAAGAAACATTCAAAGAACAACCATAAAAAGAACTATTAGAAACTAAAAAGCAGGATCTCAAAATCAGTATAAGGGTTAGAAGATAAAATTGAAGCAATCACCCAGGATCAAAAGGATAAAAAGATGTCAAAAGAGAGAGAGAGAAAAAAAAAGATACAAAGTTAGACTAGGAAGTCAACAACTATAAAGCAGAATTTCCAGGAAGACAAAACAGAGAAGAGAAAATCATCAACAAAGTAATTCAAGAATTTTTCATCTCTTCAACCAGAACAGCTGAAGTCTGAGAAAGAATTGACCTGTGTGCCCTTTAGTGCTGTTTCTCCATGTTTAATTTTGTGTAGAAAACAAATCCAAATACCAGCAAATATCAAAGCCAAATAGAATATTCTTCACTTAAAGTCTTAGAAACTTATTTGATTCATCTCTATACTGAGCTGGAGAGCAAACTGATCCACCTCTCAATAAGAAATACCATTAAAGAACTCTCATTGGTCAGTCTTCAATAATGTTCTTCTCTCCCTAGAAAAACAAAGAAACCAGCAGGTGGCAAATTTATTATTCCAGAGTCTTTAGCACAGATTGCCTGTTGGATTTTCTCATAATCTGACAACTACTAAATCTGCTCTGACCCATTTAGAACCCCAAAGCTTCATTACAAACTCCCAAAAATTGGAAACCTGCAATTCATTAGGAACATGCTGGGATCCAGGGCCTCATGAAGGAGTTGCCTATATTGAAGGAGGCAGTTGAAAAGAGTCTTCTGAATTCTTTCATATTTCTAAAATAAACAGGAGACTCTCTGGATAAGCTTAAGATATAGAAAATCAAATAGAGCTTAGATCCTAGGTTCTTTAATACTCATCAGAATAAAATGTTTTGCACACTACCCAAACTTCTCAAATACAGAGAATTATGTTTAAAAATTGCAAGGCTATTTCAGAGTCTGTGTTTCCCTCTCTCTCTGACTCTCCCCTGCTCACGCTGTCTCTCTCTCTCCTAGAAATAAATAAAAATATTTAAAAAAAAAATTGCAAGGCATTCCAAGAGGAAATACTGAAGAGCAAATTTCCATGAGATACTAATCAAGGAATTTCACTCCAAAATAGTTTATGTTGGGGCGCCTCAGTGGCTCAGTCGGTTAGACGTCCGACTTCGGCTCAGGTCATGATCTCACGGTTCGTGGGTTCGAGCCCCGTGTCAGACTCTGTACTGACAGCTAGCTCAGAGCCTGGAGCCTGCTTGTGATTCTGTATCTCCCTCTTTCCCTGACCTTCCCCTGCTCATGCTGTCTGTCTCTCTCTCTCTCAAAAAAATAAATAAAACATTAAAAAATTTTTTAACATTAATAGTTTATGTTGATATTTCCATATCATAAATCATATTAAAAGCTTATAACTTCTACCCCTTGAAAACATATAATTGGCTATGCTGTACTGGAAACAGTTCTAGGAAATGATCATCTCATCACTAGAATTGTATTCACAACCTGTTTGGAAAGAACCACCAAGTCTCTATATCAAGCTAATTGTCACATAATATTTTTAGTATGTTTTTAAAACTACATGATAGCTTTTTTCATAACAAATCACAAATATCCACCAGATGTCCAGAATGATTCCTAGTTATTCTAATAATCACTTATTCACCTCTGTTCCACCACACTTAGTAACAGTTGAGAATAATTTCTCTGACCTATGTCTTTGGTCTAACATTAGCATTTGACACAATGGACAGAGGCTATCAATAGTAAAAAAAAAAAAAAAAAAAAGTATAATTCTCACATAGATTCTGTACATTACCACTTTCAAATCTAAATCACATTATTACAGTTAAACTCTGAGATTTTTCTCATGCCCCATTCAATACACATCTTTTAAGAAATTAAATATGTCTGTGTCCAAGTACACAAAAAAAATCTATATCTAAACAACACGGATTGTTTAGTAATGGGATTGATTTTTAGAGGAAAGCAACAAAAACAATGGAAGTGTCCTACTCTGAAAATGGCATAATTTTTTGATCTCTGTTGACATCAGTTGTAATAGTTCAGCATTGACACTAAATATATTTCATTTGGCACAATTATTCAACTTTTAAGTGAAAAAAACTAAGTACCTCTAATAAGTGAGTCAATTCACAAAGCTACATGGGGATATAGCTTCTACTTGAATTGGCATGAAGATGCAATACTACCTATAATCAGACACTGGCCAGAGGCCTTAATTGTCTTCATATACAATTTTTCCTTCTGACGCCTACGGAAGGAAAGGCTTTCCATCCTATATGGCACAAAACTCTGAGAGCTAACAGACAACATGTTTCCATCTTATAAAACAGAAAACGATGTTGACAATATATCTTAACATCTCTAAGCAAAAAACTCTATCAATATAATTTTGTCAAATCCTAAAATAAAAGGTATTTCTTTGGACAAACTCTGTGACCAAAAATAAGTGGTTTTAAAAAAGTTTTTTTTAAAGACAGATAATGAATACAACTTAACTCAATTGATACTGCTTAATAACTTACCTTTTGCCTTAGTGCCAATGAAACTTCTACAGACTAATTCATTGCCCAAAGTTATAATGATCTCTGTGGCTTGACAGTACCTAACCCCTGTATTCTTCCTTTATTCTTTACTTAATTTATAATTATCCACCTTTAAAATTTTTGTTTAAAATTTTTAAAACCAATTTCAAATAAGTCATAAATAATGGAACTAATTTTCTAGATCCCTGACAACCCTGTGATTATTTCCTACTTCTCATATATGTCTCTCTTCATTAGATACCCGAAGAATTCTAGAATCAGAATATTTCTTTGTAATCTACTAGATGATAATTGGCTGTTACTAAAGAACTACTTATTACACCAAGGTGAGCCTTTCTATTCCAGGCAAGAATGCAGGCTAACCTCCTTTGTGGAGAATACCAAATCTGACCACAGAAAAGAGTAAAATGCCTCACAAAAGGAAAACTCCACTTTCAGCATGTAAGATTTAAAAGAATCAACAAAAGTTGAATGAAAGATGAACATTTCTTATTTTCCATTTCTTAAAATATTTAACATCATGTAAGTATAAAGTCACAATTGTCCATGATGATTAAAATTTTAGTATTGATAAATGTCAAGTGTTAAATTACATCAAAAAACTTGGTCATTCTCAATGTTATATTCAAATGCAACATCAAATGCAAAACTATCAGATGTTGCACAGTTGCCAGATCTAGAATATTGAACTAACACTGTAATCATCTCTCATTGGTTTAAACTTATAGGGGTTAGCTCAGCTTGGCTGTGCTTAATAGCAAATGGTTTAAATACTGTAATTTGCATCTTATTTTCATACACACACTGATGGACTCAAGATGGATACCTTCTCATGGGTCATTCTTCTCTCTTTCCTGCATCATGAACATCATTAGTGGTCCTCAATCAGGGTGATTTTTATTCCCCAGGTGGGAGAACATTTGGCAATGGCTGGAGACATTTTCGGTTATTACACCTGGGTGTAGTGCCACCAGCATCTAGGTAACTACAATGCCCAGAACAACTCCCCTGCCCTCCCCCACAATTATCCAACCCAATATGACCATTCTATGGAGGCTGAAAAACCCAGCTCTAAGGACTAACACTCAAAAGCTCCTAATAGGTGCTATGCCTCAGCTTGCAATAAAAAACCTCAGGTGCTATGCATCAGGCTGTCATAAGGAAGGAGAAAGGAGAACTCAGGCTGGCATATAATTCCTTATATGGTCAGTTTAACTCTGAAATGTATTCTATGTTTTGGCACTCAAAGCCTATATCTTTAAGTTCTCATCCTAGTCACATCCTTTCATTCAGTCAAGAATCTTTTTGGGGCACCTATGTGGCTCAGTTGGTTGAGTGTCCGACTTTGGCTCAGGTCATGATCTCATGGATCATGGGTTCAAGCCCCGTGCTGGGCTCTGTGTTAACAGCTAGCTCAGAGCCTGGAGCCTGCTTCAGATTCTGTATCTCCCTCTCTCTCTGACCCTCCCAAGCTCATACATGCTCTCTCTTTCTCTCTCAGAAATAAATAAAACATTAAAAATTTTTAAAAAAAAGAATCTTCTTTATGCCTTTCCAAATCAATGCTAGAGGATTCCTCTGTATAATTAAAATTAAGTATAATTTTTAATAAAAGCCACAACAGTTAATATGTTTTGAACAAAAGCTCACAAAGAAGCTTAAATAGAATACATTTTACCAATCACTAGTTCTTCAGTGTCCTCCCTTTAAACCATTTTTTACTCTCCAAAAGGAGTTGATTATTCATCTATAATTTTCATGTTTTTATTATACTTCTGACAGTTCTTAGAAACTCCAGCATTGATCACAAAGAAAGACGCTCTAAAATGCAAATCAAATGTGCTTACTGTATTAAAAACTGAAGAGTGCCACAATCAAAATATCAGAAGTTGAAGTCCTCCGATCAGATGCTTTCTATAAAATATGAAATACTAGACAAATTTAAGCTTTGCCTCAAATTTATATGCTTCCAAGCTATTCAAATATAAAACAAGTACTAACAAATGGACAACCTTGTCCACCGCAAGGCTAATAAATCAAAATCACCAAGGTAAGTTAACTGCATTTCCAGTGGATGCAGATTTATCATCAGAGAGCTGATAATCATGCAACCACTAGAAAAAGCAATGTGTTTTCCATGAGCCTGGTCATAATTCACTAACAACACTGATTTGTAACTTCTCACTATTATGTCACAGTGGGCACACTCTAAAAACGATTTCAGAATTTTTGGACTTCTAAATGAAGAACATGCATGTGTTCACCTGATTTTTTTTTTTTTTTTTTACATTAGAGCTCAGTATAAAAACTATAAACCTCCGACACTTGAAACAGTAGATAAGAAAATGGAAGAAATGCAGGACTTAAATGCCTTGGAATTTTTCTGAAAATGAAAAGCTGGACAGAAGTTTCAGTTAGTCCAAATGCAGAAGCCTCCAAACTTTACTTTTCAGCAATCACTACATCTCTTATATCTGATAATTTCTTTTAGCTGAATTCCTCACACCCAACTGGTAATAAAGCAAGCAGGAATGTCATCAAGGTTGAAATAAAGTCAGAAAAGCTCTCAAGCATTTCATTCCATGAGTAGTTTTATTTTGATCTCCACAAGTGGAGAAAGGCCTGGCTGCCACAAATGTTTCCAAGATGGAGAAAGTGCTTAAGAGATGCTGATATCTATAAAATAAACACATAAAAAGAAAATAAAAATAAAAATAAAAAGCTTCCTGAAAAAAAAAAAAAAAGAGATGCTGATATCTTTCTAGGCTTTTCAGAGATCAATCAAAAGTATAACAAATCCCTTCAAGAATACAAGATGGAGGAAACAGGGAATAAGGTGTTGAAACAATGGGCAAGAAGTCAAGGTAATCTGTTTATTAAACTTTCCCCTTGGCTACCAAGCTTAGAATAACAGAGAATAGAAATGATGAGACTTTTTAAAATATTTAAATGGAGGGATTTTGTTCTGTTCTGTTTTGTTTTGTTTTGTTTTTGTCTTAGGACAATATACCAAGTATCCAGAGGACAAAATAATGAAGAAGCACTCTATTTGAAGAATTGCTTAAAACTAAAAATCTGGGGGCACCTGAGTAGCTCAGTCAGTTAAGTGCTGACTCTTGATTTCAGCTCAGGTCCTAATCTCATGGTTCATAAGATCCGTGAACAGTACTAAGTCTACTTGGGATTCTCTCTTTCCTTTTCTCTCTGACCTTCCCCAGTTGTGCACTCTCTCTCCCTTTCTTGCTCTCTCCCTCCCTTTCTCTTTCTCTCAAAAATAAATAAATAAACTTATAAAGAAAAAAACTGAAAGCTTGAATTGGAATCCTGGGGAATCCTTGGATGTATAACTTTAGGCTATCTTGTAATTACTCAAAGCCTTTGGGTTTTGCTGTTGTTCTGTTTTAATTTTGAGTTTGGTTTTGGTTTTAAGCTATAAAATAGAGAATATAAAATCTAACTTCCAGAAAGATTATATTGGCCAATGTATGTAAACAGTCTGAAACATATATGATAAAGTTTATGGTGTTATTACCTGTCTGACAAAGTTAAAGTTATTGTTATGGATCTCTATGTCAGAAGACAAAGAGTGAAGACAAAAGGTGGGCAGGAGCCAGCAAATTGGGTCCCACACACCTTGCTAGCCCTGAGTTCTGATGAAATTCCAGAGGGCAAACACTATGAAGATTTTCTGATTGCTGGCTGGGAAATGAGTCCATTGGAAAACTCAAGATTCTAACACTAGTAGCTAATATGCCAAACACAATAATCCAATGAAGGTGGTTCTATAATTATCTATTCGTATTCTCATTTTATAGTTGCAGGAACTTAAGATCAAAGAAATAGAAGAACTTACCCAGGTTACAGGCAGCAAACTGGAGGCATGGAAACTAGAGATGTACTAGAAACAAAATCAAGCCCAAGAGTAAGCATCAATGGGCACAGAGAGAGTTCTGTCCATCATGAGTCCTGAATACTGGCTTCCCGTCAAGGTATCCCTTAAGAGCTTGCAAGGTAGAGCTAACCATTCTTCTAGATACATAATTCCCTTTAGCACCTTAGCTTTCCTTACTGGGCCAGTATTCGATTCGCCAAGGAGAAGTTTTGGAGAGGACCAAAGTTTTAGCAAGGAAGCAAATATAGAAAAGCAGGACTGGGCTCTAGGAAAGCCAAGCTTGAATGAGTGAGATGGCCAAAGCAAGTATACAACACCAAGACAATATCTGAGATGGTTTTGTTTTGTTTTCCCCATATGATATCTGAGAGTGTAAAGAATTAACACTGAAGAAGTCAATTTTGACATTAGCACAGACGACAAACACAAGGTCTGGAAACAGCAGACAAAGCCCAGAAATCAGGAACTAAATACACTCAGGTATGAATTAGAAAACCAGAAGCAAAAGCAGAAAGTGAAAGCATCCAGACACTTTGTCCTGAACAGGAGGATTCAGGCATACTGATGAGTGGAGAGTAGTTAAAACCTCAGTGGTCAACTCTCAACCAGTGGATAATGGAAGCCCATGGGTTCTGCTCCAGTCTCCTCTTCTCAGGGCAGACAATTCTGAGAAGCACTCTGCACACTTCTCAGAGGTTCAGAAAGAACCTCACTGCCTATAGGTTCAGAAAGAGTCTCCTCACTGCCTATAGCAGCAACCTTAATAACACAACCTTATATTGCTGTCACTGTTGCCGTTTTCTCTTTCTCTGCCTCACTGTCTACACTCACATTCTACAGTGTCTCTAATAAGATAAGATAAGACATCTAATAAGTCTAGATGTCCCCTGAGACCATTAATTTCTGCTTGTAAGGCAAATTTTTAATGAGACAATTAACTCCTACTTTGCCACATACCCTCATTCCTTGGTAGGGTAGCACTGTAGGTTCTGCAGAAAGTTAGCAAGAAAGGAAAGAAAACCTCACCATTATCTACCCTGTCCCAGAGGAAGCCACACTGCTCTGCATGACTCAATATCATTGCAAACAACATCAACGTCTGGGCCTAATATGGTTAGTGTTTATGGTTAGTAATATACTGTTTACCATTGCATTGACTAGCAGATAAAAAAGAGGGAATCATTTTGGCTTCTTTTGTAAT